GCACCGTCTTTCACGCTGGCGCCGGCCAGCTCTTCCTTCTAACCAGAAACTTTGTTCTCTCTCAGAATTACCTGTCTGAACAGGACTTTGTTTCTGTGTTTGGCATCACCAGAGGGCAATTTGCTGTCATGCCCGGCTGGAAACAGCTCCAGATGAAGAAAGAAAGGGGGCTTTTCTGAGGCAAGAAGGCACAGAAAAGAGCAGATGGGGCCGGTTACCAGGGGAGAACTGACCTGCCGGCTTGGGCTGAGGCTCGGCGTCATTCAGACAGGCCCGGGCCGCAGGTCTCACACGCGCCTGCCTCCTGCTCCCCCACTGCCACCCGCCTTAGATGTTAAGTTCCCTCTCGGGCATCTCCTGGCCTTGAAGAGTTAACGCCAGGGCCAGGACCTAAGTCTGTTAGTCCGAGATCAGCATTTCCAACTCCTGAACCGCAGCCCCGTGACTCCCACGTGTACCCTGAAGCCACAGCCGGAGGCCCCGAATCATACGCGCCAGGTTTCTAGCTTTTCAAATAAAGACACCTGTGTGCGAAAAGGGGCTCCTTCCTTACTGGGGTTCGCCTGTGAAACGGGGACCACTCGCACCGGGAGGCCGCCGGGCGGCGGGAGCCGCACCAGCTCGCCTGACCTGCCCGCGGCTGCCAGGGAACCTCGGTCCCCGCCAGCCACACCCCTTACTCACGAGAGACACAGGCCCACGCGTTACTAATTTCGGGAGCGGGGCCAAAACCAGCTGTGCCCCGCCGAGGGCCTGCAGCGCCAGAGACATCAGCACATGAGGCACGTTTTCCAGACTCTGTCTGGGTCAAGGGTCCCAAAGAAATGCAGGGGTGGGGCCGGGCCCGGCACAGAAGCAAAGGCCGAAGCAGCAGGGAGCAGCGTCCAGGAGTGACGCGGCCGCAGAAACGGGGCCGGCCGGCCACTCTGCGGACGGGGTCACCTCGCGAAGGCCTGCGCCCCCAAGGCCGGTCCGGCGAAGGCACAGCAGCTAAACCCGGAATCGCACAGGCAAGGACGAGTCTGCGGTCTTTATTCTGCAACGACTTTATTTGACCACGTGAGCCGGCCAGCGCGCGATTCCGCTGCAAGCCCAGAAGCGAAGAGCAAGGGGCGCGGGGACCCCTCCGCGCCGCCCCGCCCCACGCGGCCGCCTGGACACTCACGACTCGGCCTCTGCGGCCGCCTCGCCCTCTCCGCACTCAAAGCGCACGAAGTCCAGCACGGACACGCCCTGAGGCTGCACGTACTGCCCCAGCGTGATGGACGGGTCCAGCAGGTACGGCTGGGACAGCATCCGGGTGTCGGCCTCCCCCCCGGGCGCGTCGTCCAGGGAGCCCACGGAGCGCGGGGCCATGCCCACCACGTGCTGGCCCAGGCGGCGGCCGACCTCCGCCAGGCGTGCGTTCTGCTCGGACGCCGCGCAGACCACGAGGGCCCCGTACTTGCCCAGCGCCAGGCCGCGCGAGGGGCCCTGCGTCGCTCCGTGGACGTAGGAGCCAACGTAGAACCCGGCTGGCACCTTCACCCACGCAGCTCGCTTAAGAATCATGTTTTCTCCCAACTTCCCTATAAAGAAGCAAACAAAACACGCCTGAGTGTGTGATGCCGGCAGCAGGTGGGAGCCGGCGCGGGGCTGGGCCCGGTCGGCCTCGGCCCGCACGCCCAGAGCAAGTGGCTGCGTCGCGAAGGCCACTCACTGGGTTCCCAGCCTCGGCGCCACGCGCACGGCGCAGACACCTCCACCGAGACGGGTGACGGGAGCAGCCGTGCGCCAGGCCTGGTCCCCGCGGACTCCCGCGGGCTCCTCGCGCCAGCCGGCCGGCGCGACACGCCGCACAGGCTCACGCAGCGAGGGGGCAGGGGGCCTCCGGAGAACCCAGGCCCCCACCGCTCGGCAGCCCTGATGCCGCCACGGCAGCTCTGCTCGGCCGCCGCAGGGGAAGCCCACGGCGAGAGCGCCGGAAACCCACACGCCACGCCACCTGCCAGCCTCCTTTCCTCTCACCAAAAGCAAAAATACCATTTTTAGAACTGCGTGCGAGAGCCAAGAGCTGATTCCAGTTTTCTCTCCCCCTTCTCAGGGCGTAATTTCCTTAAGCCCAGGCCGAGGCGCAGGTTCCGTGGATGCCCTGCAGGGCCGTGGCCACGACGCTGAGAGCCACGGGAGGCAGCGCCCAGACTCCGGAGGGGCGGGGCGGGGGGGCCGGAACATCCGAGGCTGAACTCAGCTCTCCCAGAATGCGGAGTGATCGCTGCCCCAGGTCCGCATGGCCCGTGACTCACTGGGGGTCGTGCCCGGTCCCAGATGACCAGCCCGACGAGGTGCGGCCACAAGAAGCCACGGATGAACATTCGCTTCCCAGCGAGCTCCAGCCTGTCCCACTTCCCACCTCCATCAGGGACACACCGGGGGGACCCCAGATGTGGCTCCCACAGCCAGCAGAGCTCACAGGAGGCACCTTCACAAATTTAGGTCAGATTCTCAACACAGAGACAGCGTCCTAAAAGCAAAGCCCCTGGCACGCCCAGATGGCTCACAGAGCAGGTACCTGACCTCCGGTCTACCTCGCTCCGGCCTCTGACTGCAGGTGTGCTTTCTCTGGTCAGCACAGTGAGGCCTCCCGGGTGCGGAAAATAGCTTTTACTTAGTTACAGGCAGATAAACACCAGGAGACTTCTATATGCAAATTTAAACTCTTGAGAAGAATTTCAAAATTCCAATGACATTTCCTTTAAGGTAACAAGGGGCTAGGGCTTGACACTGGTCTCCTCTGGCAGTCTGAGCTCTCACAGGTGCCTGCTGCTCCTGTAGCCAGCACACAACCCACCTCTCACATCCGACCGGCGACCCTGGCAGGCCGCAAGTCTGCAGGTCTCGACCTGAGTTTGGAGGAGCACCAGAGACTAGAGAGCCTGTTCTTACTTCTTCGTTTCCAGGACTCCTTACAAATACTCACCAATTGCCAAGGCCAGCTGATCCTTCAGAGACCCTTCTCTCTCAGGCCCAGCTGGAAGCTCAGAGAGCTCAGAGGAGTTCAAGAAGCCCTAAATGCACAAAGAAAAGAGCATGAATCAATTCTGCATAGCTCACTTTATCAAGAGACTGTGCAAAAATAGCCTATTTCTCAGAAAATGACTCAAGATACTAAGTATAAACAGATATTCATGAAGCCAAGATTGTTCAAAAATCGGTAACAGTTCATTTTTATAAATATTCCTCACTGCAGAACTTCACACCCATCCTATCCTCTGGTCTAACATCTTACAATGTAATTTCCTAGAAATCAAAACAAATATATATATATGTGTATATATATAAATATATATATATGTATGTATGTGTATATATAGCTATAGATAGATAGATAGATAGATAGATAAATATAGATAGATAGATTTAATTTAGTTCCACATCAC